AAATACCGCTCTACGAAGCGGGGCGTTCTGAAAGGGATTAGCTTTCCGCACTAGGGCTGTCGAACATTTGATCTGCGGTGTAAAATTTCAGAATATCCACACGTTTGCTCGAAAATACTTTTCGTTAGTGAAGGAGAATATTTCAGTGCTTTCAAGATCATCATTAAAATAGCCATCAGATTAGTCGGCAGACAACGTTTCTGAAATTAGCTACGGGCGATGAATTTTTAGCCTGTCAAAGATGAAAGGCCATTCATGTACACCTATGTCTATGTACATGAAGAAATCAAATTTTCTGCACTTCTCAGCACTGTTGCGACATTCCAAATGTCTATTAGTAAAAGAAGTGACTTTACTTCTTATTTAGAACACTATAGATAGTAGTGACGTACCAAATTTGAAATGTTTTTGTACAAGATTAGAAAAGCAAAGAAAGGTTCGGCCCGGGCTTTGAGAAAGCATTTTAAATCACCACTATCTCCTTGCGGTTGGGATACAATGGCAGCCGCGAAGGCAAAAAAGCTATTTTGCATTCATCATGAACAGACATGGAGGGTTTTTTGTGAATTTTAACCTCATTTTTATGTGTTCATGACTACAGTAGGAAAATATCTTTTGTTGTCTGGAACAATTCTAATCCATTACCATGTCCGGTGCTCCTTTTACGAGGAGTGGGTGAGGCTGACTAACCCCTCTTCCATCTTGTGGGTTGGTTATTCCGGATTTTAACGAAAAAATAGTCCATAACAAAGTTTTGGTAATTATTTCCTGTGATGAAAATGTTAAAATTTTAAACCTTGCTTTGCCCTGACAATTAATTTTCTCTTAAAAGTATGGTAAGCCTACACGTTATGCACGCGAAAAATATTTGCACCTCTGTGCATACTTAACACAGACTGTACATGTATTTAGTGAGGTTAGGGCTATCCTGGTTGGAAGGGGCCCAAGCGTTAGAATTGGTCTTTTTGGTGACATAACTATTGCCGGCCTTGTGGAAATACTCCAACCTCTTTGGCCCTTTTAAAATGGGAATTAAAATACTTGGCAGCCAGGTTATTCTAAATCCTTGACAACAGCCATTTTAGAGGATTTTGCTGGTATTTTGTCCGATTTTTACTGCAACACCTGTTATTTCTATTTGACAATGCAGTCAAGGATATCTCAAAGAAGACGCACGTTTAGGTCACCCGACTATTCTCGCTTCATACTCGTGGACTCTGTGGCTCTACGGAAACCGCATGTGACCCAGACATGCCGCCGGCTTCCGTCACTGTCATATCATCCATAGAAGATAATTGATGCCTTGAAATCCTCTCGTAAGGGGAGAAAGCCAGGGCTACATATACTCTGGCACCAACACACGTTCTGTTTGCACTTCAAATTAAACAGCACTTGAAATTATAAACCAAACAAACAGCAGGCATCTCACAATCAGTTGTTCCAATTCCAAAAGTCTAAGGAAGTTGACCTTTAAAAGAAATATTTATGGACTGTTTGTGGTTTCCTCGGAAAGTGATCTGTTTAATTTTAGTTTTTGGATTTATTCCCATTGTGTGTTAACCATAGTAACTGTACAACCTTTCAACGAAAGCTTACGGAGAGCGCCATTCATTCATCTAAAATTTTCCGAGTTAAATGGTAGGTTTGTCATGCCGTGGTCAAATGCTCACGGAGAACTATGGTAATGAGACATTTTCAAAATATTCCTTGATCCAAAATCCTGAATCTTGAGATAAGTTTATTGATAAGTTTGTTTTATCGAGCCAGAAAAACAACTGCTCTCTTGAGATTAGACCATTCACTATTTGTCATTTCATCATCAAATCCAGTTGACATGTGTCACCTTGTATACGTTTTGTCGCCTATGTCAATTATATCGTATGTCTTTTGATCCATCCTACTTGCAAAAAGTAATTGATTGAAATAAACCTTACACATTCCTGTGCAGTTGAATTAATGATTCTTAAAATAACACGGATTTTCCTCATCTTTTCATCTTCTAGATAAACTCTCCTGTTTTTGGTATCTTTCCCAGTCAGGCAGTAATTAAATTTGCTTGTCCGCCCGACTGACTGGCTCTTTTTTGCCATGTGCCTATCTCCATGTGTTTGTAACTTATCGATTCATTTTTGAGATGACATAACTATAGACGTATTAATTATCTCCTGTGTCTCTGTTGATAATATTTATGATGTTAAAACAAATTTCCAAATGCAAATGTTTCTTAAATGTTTTAAAATTCTAGAGAAACTTTTTGCTGACCAGCATGTGAAAGACTTGTCAGTCAGCCAAAGTCATAAGGGCTTAGAAGTTCACGTGTAGTCACAGTAGACAATTTTTATATCTAAGACATTCTCTTCAGGTCAGAAAGCTTGCCCAGAGTACATCTATAGAAGTACTGTACAATGTGTTTGTCTGGTTGTTACCAAAGTACAGTTCCCTAGCTATGATATTTCTTAAAAATATCTAACATTTCTGTGTACCAAGAGGCAAACATTTTATATCTTATATTTCTGTACACAGCATTATGTAAATAGCAGTAACATTCTCCTTCTTTTTCCGTTTGTTTTATTTTAGCCAAAGTCACAAGGGTTTAGAAGTTCAGGAAAAAAAAAAGTTTAACTCCACACTTTGATAGCAATTAAAATTAGTTCTATCACAAGCTGTTTCCAATTAAATTGGTCCTTGTGGAAAGACATTTCAAACCTTGCCTGGCCTCTAGCCAAAGTAAAAAACTGTGACCACAAAAAAAATCTTTCGATGACAAAGATTTTCTTCCCACATGTATACAGTAGACATTTTATATCTAGGTCATTCCCTTCAGGTCAGAAAGCTTGCCCAAAGTACATCTATAGAAGTACGGTACAATGTGTTTGGTTGTTACCAAAAAATAGGCTATAAAAAAGTTTTGGTAGTTTTTTCCTGTAATAAAAATGTTACAGTCTTAAGCCTAAGTTTAGGTATCGGCACATGTACAGAAGTGTCGGGCAGAAACTGTAGCGACATAGTCCGACTAGGGTTACCTTCACCTTGCTTTGCCCTGACAATTAAATGTCACCCAAAAGTATGGTAAGCCTATACGTTATGCACGCGAAAAATATTTACACCTCTGTGGGTACTTAACATACACTGTACAGGTGTGTTAATGAGGTTAGGACCTCATATTTAATCAAAAAGCTTGGTGTATCCTGGTTGGAAGAGGCCCAAGAGTTAGAATCGGCCTTTTTGGTGACATAACTGGTGCCAGCCTTGTGGCAATGCTCCAACCTCTTCAGCCCTTCTTATTGGAATGTCATATTTTTACTGCAGGAGTTATTATGCCGCACATATATCCCTGAATGCAAGACTTAGAGAATAGATGACGGTTCTTGAATTTGAACTGCAGAGAGATGTTAAGACATGAATGATCATCAGAGTTGATAGTTGTGAAAATAACACCTTAAAAAAAAAAACAAAAAAAAAACATGAACCATCTAACACATGATCTCAGTGATATTATCACACAGATACTGTTATCGCAGTGGTCATGGGTTTGAATCCTGTCCAAGCCGGAATTTTTTACAAGCATATAACCATTATAGTTAATGGAAGGGAATGATGATGAAACCTCGCAAAGTTCTTTGTTGTATGTTTTTGTTCTCTTTTTTGGCCTTGACTGTGCACAAAACACAACAGTTGTTTTACTTCTGACTGAGGATCTAACCAACAGAAACATTTTGGTTACATAATCAGTGCTTGCGTATGAATGCAAATCAAAACATTGTGCACGGACATTTACCTTCTGGGCAACATAAATCTTGTCATCTTTGTTTGCTCCTTTCATGTTTGCTGAGCTTCATAACCATTCCTCTCTATTAACTATGACATAACTGATGAATTCATGTCTTAACATGTGCAGTTAAAAAAAACAGTTAAGAACCTAGTGGTTTAGGAACCTGCTGCCAGAAATTTGCCATTTCAATACCAACAAATATAAGAACCTGTTTAGCCAAGCAAGATCAAGCAGGTGCTTTAATATATGTGGGTTCCAGTTAAATTATGATAACCATTTCAACCAAGGAGTGTGAATTTGAGATTGCAAATTTCTATAACAAGAAAATACCTAATACTCCCAAATACAAGAACCTATTTTGCCAGACACATGGGTTTTTATTGTATATCTCTGAGGACATTTGCCCTGTTCCTCACTAATCAATGTCGATAAACGGATTCATTCTGGATGTCAAATTTAATTCATCTTTGTCATATTTTTCCACTTTCTGAAATAATTTAATTTGAATTTGTTTTCAACTCTGACCTTGCTCTAACCAGCCAGTAATTAACTGTGGCTAACCGGAATTTTGTTCAAATATTTATCCCATTTATTTTGGGTGGAGCATGGTAAGAGTGATTGCATAATCAGTTATGTATACACCTGTAAGTGTATTACGTGTACCTAACAAAACAACTTGATTACAATAGCCTAGATTAAACCTTGACCTCAAATGCAACCAGGTCAAATTACAGTACAAAAGCATTGACAAATTCAAAATATAAACCAGTCCATACCAGCAATGTACCTATATGTACACAAGTACATTTACATAAACCATTATTTATTATTTGTTACTACATTTGTATATACTGTTTGGCATATTTGGCTTAAAACTGAAACCAGCAAAAAAATTGGATTTTAAGTTGTGTTCAAAAATCAATTGTATTCATGTCAATCAGCAACCGATGATGAAATTAAAAGAAAAAACTTGAAATGTGTAAATGCTCTTGAAATTGCATTTGATTCTTGACAACATTCGAATAATGATACATTTGTACAATGTAACAATATGAGTGACATATCATATACTGTGTACAAGTGTACATTTTAACAAAGTGTGACGAAATCTGCACGAGTGTACATTTGCATTACATGACATGCACATGCACACATATGCTAAGTCATATGACATGCACATGCACACATATGCTAAGTCACATGACATGCACATGCAGACATATGCTAAGTCACATGACAATGTACATGTAGATGATCATCAGCAGACACTTGTAAACAAATTTGAATTACAATCGAACTTTGACCATCGCTCTGATCACTTGTCAAACTACAAGTTATGTATCTTCTAAAATGGCAGAGGCTGGTGGTGAAATTGGTTTTCTTCAAACACAAACAAACCATCCTGCTATATGTCACTCAAAGGTTCAGTGGAATTTAGTCAATGGAACACTACATTGTGTTCCATTTTTTCCTAGTAAACTGACCCCTGGATGGAGGGAGGCCCCTGTACTGAGATTGCCCAAGAACAAAGTATAACAGACAATCACCAGTATCTTAATTAAGCCTGAAGTTGCACTACTTAAAATTGTGTTATTCCTTAAAATTGTGTTGTTCGCCATGGAAGGTTTTTTAGTTTAAAACCCACCCCCCTGGAAATTTCGGTTTAGTTTCGCACTTTAAAACTTTTGACTTTTGGAACCCCCTTCCCCCTTGGGATTTCCATAAACCTTCCTTGGGGTGGATATGAATATTTTCTGGAATTGCACTTTATGACACCACTATCAGATCACACCAATTCTTTTAAAAGTAATGAGGACTTGTTTGAAGGATAAAGCAAGCTGGTGCAGGCTAATTTTACGACAAAAGACCCAGTACTTTTCTCTGCAGTGTTTATTAATTAAAGGCTTTAAGACCAAATTGTAGTTTTTATGTATAGTGTATTTTTGTTATCTATAAATCTGAAAATGTGACATCATTGAACAAATTTTCTTCTATGTGAGAGCAACCTTTACACATAAAGTACCTCTGAACACAACAAACTTGGTGCACAATAATCTCGAGATTAGCGTGAATACTTTGTTTACTTTTTCTTTTGTTTGTTAATTTTTTGAGTCATTTATGCCCTGTGCCCCACTGGGGGCTAGAAGGAATGATGGTGATGATGATGACTGTTACTGTACAATCAGCTTGTTCTTCCATAAACAATTTTTTTTTAATTTCATTCTAGCACCAACAGCAACTCTGACAGCTCCAAATGGAGCTCTCGACAGAAGCTTCACACACTTAATATGCCAAGTCACAGGGAACCCAGAGCCAAGCATCACATGGTACAAGAATGGTGTAGTTCTTACCGTCAGGGCCAGGGCACAGAAGTTCCCCATTCCCAGTGGTGAGCTGCTTCGTTTAGGCCCCACTTTGAAATCACGCCATGAGGGTGATTACACGTGCAAGGCTTCAAATGCAGATGGCACAGCAACATCTCAAACAACGTCGATAAAAATCTACAGAGGTTAGTTGAACAGAACTTATCTACTAGAAAAAAACACTCAAAAGTGTATCACCTTTTGTTTTTCTCCTACAGCAAAAATGGTTTTACTTAATTAGCAACATTGAGTCACCCAATCTCTAAATTAAAAACACTTTCCCCCCACCCCACCCCTTCTCAAGAAAAGCAATATTGATGAAAATCTACAGAAGTTAGTCGAGCAGCATTTATCTATAACACAGGTATTTATGGGTAAAAGCCAATCAAAAGTGTATCACCGTTTGTTTACTTCTTCATCATTGTGCACAGCCATTTTAAAATAGGTATCCCTTCCTAAGAGCCAATTTCTGACCCAACCCCTTCCTCGACCACCCCCAACCCCCCTCCGATATTGTAAAAAATAATAATAACTACAGAAAAACCGAACAAAATACATTGTACAGCTGCGATTTCCCTTTGCCTTCTTCATCGGAAGACCATCGCTATTTTATCAACCAGAAACATTTCGTGAAATGTTGCAGCACGTGCGTATTGTTTTGCACAATAAATATTCCGCGTGTTCAATTATGTAGAACGTTTAAAGTAAGAATCTATTTGTTTATGATGTTGTTTTTATGAGATTCATATTCTTATACCAAGCCTATTCTAAAGCTTGAATACTTTAAGATACTTTCCGAAGATATATGTGTATACATGCGCACATTTCTTAAGCTTACATTATGTAATTACATGTATGCTGACTTAAATCTTATACTCAACAACAACTCACCTTCCGTAACGCGTTTGTGGATGTTTTGTATTCCCATTTTACTTGTTCTTTTTATCTCCTTGGCGCGTATTTTCCCATTTTATACTTTACAAGCAGGAAGTTCAACAAAAAAATCCCTTGAAAGACAACCATTTTCACGCATCGCCACTCGGTCAGCGGTTGGTCTACTGTTGTCTGATAATACGTAGTGTAATACTCACAATCTTTTGTGCTTAAAATCGGTGAAAGAAACAAATTGAACTATCAATCAAAGAGACCACCGCGAAGGTTTTAAAGCTCTTGATAATCGGCTTGGATAGAAATTAATGAAAATGCCCCAAAGACCAGCTTGAAATTAAAAGCATTCCTACATGACAGTAGTACGATTTTATCTTACATAACGCGAAGCTAAGATTTCTGAGAAGCCGGCTTTCGACCTGTACATATGTTTGGAGGTTTCTCTGTCAGCAGCACATTTCTTTTCAGTGTCTTCAACTGCTTCAGCAGTTAAGGCATGTTATATGAGCCGCTCTGAAAATTCTGAAAGTAGTACATTTTGTTAGTTTGCGACAGTGACTCAAACTAATATACTTGACCACATTTCTGTTTAATTCCATAATCAAATGCTACCGACATCAGATTTATACAAGATTAAAATTCCTGTGAATGTTTTTAGTCCAGTTTGATCTGCTGATTGTTCTACTGCTTTGTTTTCATTGTTGCCAACAAAGCGATGAACTCCAGCAAACATTTTAGCACCAGATTTGACAGACTGTATCATGTAATGTGAACTCAGGTTCTATATACCTTAATCTCCTTACATTTTATTATCTAAAGCTCTTTTACGTTTCCTTTTTAGAAGTACATACTGGAAATTGTTGACTTTGAAAGAGCTTGTGAGTTTTTTCTGCTGCTCATCTAAAGTCTCCTGCTTGCCTTCTTAGTTTTGTCAATATTTGCTCACGTTTGCCTCAGTCAGTTTATTCTGCCATTGTTCTCCCTTTTTAGAGTGTGTTCAACCTCTTTTGTTATAAGTTATTCTTAATTGAAAGAAAAGTAAGTAAAAGACACTGGTTTCCATTACACCTTTCATAAGCTGTTTACAATGCTTAATTATACACCTTTGTTTATCATCACATTTATGGCAATACAAACGAAAAGTCACGCACAAAGTCAAAGGGTAATTAAATATATATCTAATTTTTCCTGATGTCTAATTACTATGTACGTAAGAACTTAACGAGAAAAAGTTCGATCAGTTGCAGTAACATTGTGTTAAAATTTCACCGAATTCTCTGAAGTAACATTAAAGCTTAACAACTGTGCAGTGATCATTAGGCAAAACTGATACGTTAAGGTGTGAACTAAGAGGGTTAAGGATAACTCTTTCGTGAACACGTTTCCATCGTTATGTGCATTCGAATAAAGGTGTGCTTGAGACAGTTATTTGTTCTGCGTATTATCTGAAGACAGAACCCCCAAGAAGTCGAACAGGCGAAGTGTTTTGTGAGCTGTCGAAGCGTTTGTTTTACCTACAGGACGCAGTTACATGTTTTACAGCAGGCAAGTTGCCGGAAACTAATTTGCCAGTAGATGGTTTTCATTTTTCGAGTTTCACGTAAAATGCACTCAGAAGTAAGTAAATCGGCCAAGGAAGTCTACCAGTCCCGATTTAAAATCACCTCTGTGTTTAAAACAAAACCTGCTTCATTTGATTTGAGTTTAAAGTCTTATTAACTCAGGTTTGCTTTGGGAAACAATTCATTTCCCTGAACTCATTTTATATGGTAAACAAAATAAATTTTAACTTGCTGAACGTGGCTGGCCGCGTGGNTTCCCGTTCCGCTAGGCAAGGGTAACGAAGGCTCTGGGAACGAGATTGCTTTAACACCTATGAACTTTAAGACCCAGAACACCCTATCACTTAAGCCCCTCGTCTTACGGGGTTTACTAAAACGAGAGAAACATTTAACAAATTATTTTGCTTTTCAGCACCCGGGCAGCCGGAACAGGTCAAAGTGACAGTACTTTCACCGCAGTTAATTCAAGTCACGTGGCAAGCCCCAAAGTACTCTGGGAACGGCGTGATCGGCTATGAGGTCTATTACAACAAATCGACCGCTGCCAAGGAAACCATGATTACTGTCGGAGATCAAACATTCGGTCAAGAGATAAGACACCTCAGACCATACACTTATTACCAAGTACAGGTGGCGGTGAAGTCCTATGGTATTACAGGGCCAAAATCATTTGCCAAGGTTGTCCAAACACTGGAGGACAGTAAGTTGTAAAGAGCTAAGTCACGAAGCTAAATTACCGTTTGCACATCTTGGAAAGTTTAGCCTAAATTTTTCAAGTTCGTCATTTGTCATACGTGTCAATCGTCTCCATCCTTAAACATCCTTGTTTCTTTATGTTTTATTATTATCTCTTTGGTGTTTCTCTATCTACTATTTTCAGGTTTGCTTCAATTTTTGTACGTGGCCAAAATTAATTCAAAATGCTGTTACTGAGCTGAGTGATTTGATCTAGCAGCCCCCTTTCAAATAAGACAACCCTCGACTACCCTTAGCTGTTTAAAAAGCCTTGCTGTAAGAAGCGTCATGTTTCAACAAACAAATAAACTATTTTCGTTCTTGTTGAATTGTATAGTTCCCAGTGCCGCTCCCGCGAACATCCGGAGTAAGGGACTGGACTCCACTAGCCTGGAAATCAGCTGGGATCCACCTCCCCCCAGACATCGCAACGGACGCATTACAAACTATACCGTCAAGTACAGGGAGAAGGGGGGACGCGCAAGGTGAGTCTGAAAATACTTAGTACGCATGTCATTTATAAAGGAAATTCTTCACATTACGTCTTAGTTTCCTTTCTTACATCGTGACTTCCTCAAATGATACATAAGATGGTGTTAAGAAGTACAATGGCCACCACGTTAAGAAGGCTACATGTGCCTCGTTATTTCGGCCACTTTATTCTGGCCTGAACAAAAGCTCAGTCAGTCATTTTCCTATTCACCCCTTTAATGGGGCAAGAGTTTTGTGGCCCGTTAGTGAGCAGATTGACGGGGTTCCGCTCTTCATAGTAGTGCTCGAAAATAGCCTCGCGATAGTTGCCCTTGCTAATCCTCCGTAAGGTATTTTGATAAAAGTTTCAACCCCAATCTTTTTTTCCTACAGACTATTGCAAATATTGTTCTTTTTCTTTAATTTAAGATAGCTGCATCTAAATTCATGGTTTTAAAGTCAGAGTATATGAAACTTAGAATTTTTCGCGAGGTTCATTACCCGTTTATACTTGTCTTTACAGTTTTGTGAACGTGGATGGAATAAAGTCCTCAATTCGTCTTCATAATCTCAAGAAGTACACCACATATTTTGTGTGGATATCAGCGAGTACCTCTATTGGCACTGGTCCTACGTCTAGCAAGCACACATTCTCCACAGCGGAGGATGGTGAGTNCTTATCCATAATAGGGGTTGTTTGTCGCTATTTTGAGCCTCGATCTTGCATTCGTAAATTTTCGAATTAACATTCCAAGATGCCATGCTTGCAATTTTTTGTTTAGTGCCTTCCACAATGAGTAGGCTTTCAACCATTCATCTCAACTTATGTGCGACGTTTTGTGTTCGTAATCTCACGCAAGCACACAAATAATTGAACGCTGTAAAGAGACTTAAAGACGTGTATTTGTTACGTTAGACACACTTGCCTGTTGGTTTACAGAGTGGTCATTGTGGCGAACAACATCTTGTTTGTGGGTTATAATTAGCAGAAAATGTGTCTGAATTCTTTCCAGTATGTGTATTTCCGATTTCGTGAGACAGTAATGACCGAGACAGCTAAGGGTCGTGTTAACCAGTGTAGTTTATGCCTGTCTGAATTCTTTGCAGTTTGTGCACTTCCGATGTCGTCTGATCTTTTGCCCTTTAATGAGCGAACCATATTTTTGTATTTGCCCTATAATGAACAAGTAATTGTAGAGTGCTGTTCTGGAATGTCTGTTCTGGGAAATTTCATCCATGTTTCTTTGGTTGTTATCCAGTCTTAAGTTTATCAGGAGAATCTTTGTTTATAATTTTTGCCACATTAGCATAAGCAATACAGTTTGCGATGGAGCTACAAAAACATTACTTCTGAATATTGAACTGGCATAGCACGATTAACTGTCCCAAGGAATTTGAGCCCGATCATGAATGTATTGAACATGTGTGTCTAGCTAGATGTCTTCTCTTCGCAAAGACGTATGTTAATGAGGAAAAATGAAATCAATGATGTCAGCAAAGATTCGCCCATAATCTCGTCTGTTTTTGTTTCATTTCCAGTCCCCAGTGGAGCACCGCGTCAGCTCAAATTCAGAGTGGTGAATTCTTCCGTCATTGTAGTCCGCTGGTCAGAGCCACTGCAGCAGCAGGATGGCCGTATCCAAGGTTACTCAGTGTTCTACCAGAAAGTGGATGATCAAGGAAACCAACTGAATCCACCACCCCTCCCTGAAGTCAAATACTCTGAATCTTGGGATTCCTTGGTAAGCATTTCATGTTGGAATTTCCAAAAAAAGTAGCTTTCGACGAAGAAAAACCTGCGATAGCATTTCCTGTCTCCAATTTCCGCGAGCTTATTTAAGAGATCAAAGTATTCATGAGATAATGAGTCGTCGACTCATTGACACATAATCCGGCCTCATTTGACTCATAAAACATGAGGATCCAGTCCCCGGGAGCACGCCTCGAGAATACGATAGAAGCCTTTACGGAGAAAGAGATTCTGACTTCATCCACTTCCCTTTTCTCTGAATGTCTAGTAAGCAGCTGCTACACCTGCAATATACAGCGAGAAATTTGTTTCGGTGACAATGCACACACCTCACTTGTTTCTTCAAGCAATGTTCTCCATTTACAATCTACAGAGCGTTGTTTTAACCGAACTGGAAGCCGAGACGACGTACCAGATCGAGGTTGCAGCATACACCGTAAAAGGAGACGGCGCCCGCAGTGTGCCAGTGTTAGCTAAGACCTTAGCGAAAGCCCCGGATGCTCCATACATTTTCAGTACTAAGCCAATTTCCACTCCAAGCACGGGGTTGACAATCAAATGGAGGACTTCGGTGAGCAATGTGCTCTCTTACAAGTTGCGATACGGAAAGTCCTTACAGCGCCTGCGCGGACGGGATCCGCCTGTCAAGATGAAAGAAATGACGTTTCTTCCGCAGACAAAGGAGCATCCATTTAGAGACCTTAGTAAGTGTCTGTAGTATTACAAACAACTCTCTGGGGTTGCGGAATTTATGTTTTTTTTGTTTTATCTCATCTCTTATCCGGTTCCTTCGTTCGTCCATAAGTTCGCCTGTCAATTAATCANAATAAATTTATAGTATTGTCTGCCAAACGCTAGGAAAACTAGCATAGCACCAAGTCTTCGTTTAGGATTTCCATAACATCATATGAAGCCTGTACAAGTACGTGCAGGATCGTTTTAAATTCAGTTTTGTAAAGTTATCGATGAGGATTTATGTTTTTCATCATTTCAACCATTTTTTAAGTTGGCTAATCTCAAAGTGCAGCTTTTAAAAGAATTGCAGTAAAAATGCTTTTTACATAAGAAAGATAACCTTGCCTTTAATCCGGATTTTAGCTAGTCTGCTTTCTTATAAGCATGTTCAGACCTACAAAAAACGCTTAGCAAACGCTCACCCTGATAACATGATTTTTTTTTTCTCGTTGTCTGGCTCTTTCTTGTTCTCTTTTTCTTTCTCTTGTTTCTTTCTTGTTCTTTCTTGAATTTTATTGGCTTTTTCAACGTTAAGAAAACATGGACACAGCTATAGGTTTAGGTTTCCTAGCCATTTGGTAATATCTTTCGCTCATCGTACGTTAAGTATAAATTAGCGTGTATTCCTCTAGTTTCCGTTATTTTCACATTCATGTAGAATGCTACTACCTTATACATATCTTTTTGTGTGTGTATGCATGTGCTCTCGCCGTTTCGTTTTTCAAGGTTAGTAAATTCTTGTCACCATTACGACGTATTTTGGAAAATCCCGTAGTAAAATCCTTTAATGGCGTCAGCTTTGACAATGTTGGCGCCTAAAATAAAACCACTGACCTTACCTAACGAGCGCGCTTTCACTGACGGGAAGCCTTGGTTTTGTATATATGAGTTACTGACTGATCTTGTTTGGTCAAGATGGCTGAACATTGACCAAGTTCTTTCTTTTACGTGTTTATGGACCGAGAGCGCCATTTTGGCCGCTCGGGAAGCCAATCACAGCGCAGGATTTGGTTTATCTTGCCCGCTCACGGAACTAACCATAAAATAACTTACTCTTACTAAGGTGTAAATGTTTCTTTTTATTAAAATACAAACTTTATATCTTCAGCGCGCAGCACGCCATCGGGATTTCCAAGAGTAGTTAAGAATCCTCGATACGCTGAAGTAACGAGCGGAGATGATGGTTCGTTTGAGTGTAATGCCACAGGAAACCCACTCCCGGTGATAACATGGCTGAAGGAATCAGTGCCCCTCGACTTGTCAGACCCAAGAATCAGCATACCCAAGCCAGGGGCCGTGAAAATCACTAGTGTCCAGGCTTCTGACGCCGGACGGTACACGTGTGTTGCGACCAATAGCCTGGGGATGGTGTATTCACGTGTCGCAACCCTCAGACACAAAGGTTTGTGCCAAAACGATAAACAAAATCTTTTTTAATTATGTCGGTGGAATACTGTCAGAAAGAGCGCGATTAGAACTTGGAAGTTTCCTTGCGTGACGCGCGTGGTTATGGTCTTGTTCTCGCGCGTTGGAATTCAGTGCTTGAATTAGTCACTTACCAATCAGAAGGATTGGCAGGAAGTAAAGCGGCAGTAAAATTGGCGAAGGATGGCAGGGAGTAAATTTTAATTCAGTGGAAATTTAATGCGAACATGAAAATTCACATCTCTGTGCCCTTTTCCTAACTGGTCGAAAACATTTTGTACTTTTCAAAGGGCTTTTTGAAGGGACTTCAAGGCTGTTGACATTGGTTACACGTAACTAACGTTAAAATTCTTCCATTGTAGTCTCTTACAAGAAACCAGTCATCACCAGTCCCCCTCAACCTGTCACAGTCGACCCAGAAACAGTTGTCTACTTGAATTGCTCGGCCACAGGTTACCCAAAACCATCTATAGTGTGGGAACGTGACGGCGTCAGACTCGCAGGGGGAAGTGCTGATGGCGTGTTGACCGTTCAAGATATTCAGAAGTCTGGGAACTACACTTGCCTTGCAGTTAATAACAGAGGACAAGCTCGAGCCTCGGCTTACGTCACTGTACGAAGTAAGTCGAATGCGTTCTACTGTCTTAAAATGTCTTCATTGAAAACTGCGTGAAAATATAGCCTATACCTTAGTAAAAAAAATAAATAAACAACTGTTTCTTGCAAATAGAGCAACATAAACTTATTCGTTAGCAGACAAGAGTTTCATCCACGGACTTGTGTATAGCATAATAAACAGTACTACATGAAAGCACTGCTCAATAGCTTTCATTTGAATGGTCACACACTAGGGTTTTATCCACGGACTTAAAAGTTATAACCACCTTGTATAGCATACTAAACAGTACCACATGAAAGCACTGTTCAATAGCTTTCATTTGAATGGACACACACTAGGGTGTCGTCCCCAGACTTAAATGTTAGTACTTCCTTTTACAGCATAGTAAACAACACTGCATGAAAGTACTGCTCAATAGCTTTTACTTGAATGGCCACAAATTAGGGCTTGAATCACCTTGTACAGCATAATAAACAGCACTACATGAAAGTACTGCCCAGTAGCTTTCATTTGAATGGTCACACACAAGGGGCTTCTTCGACACTGTGGGAGGCCACAGGAAAAGGTCGAATTCAAGATCTTCACCTGAAACTGGCCCAGTTCTTGACAAATCATGCAGCTGCTAAAACGGTAACACATTACGACATGGTTGTATCTCTTGCAGAATTGCCATTCGCTCCAACAAGACCCACCACAACGCAGATAACTGCAGACTGGATCACCATCACATGGAAGCATGGAGGAGGCCCCCAGGTGGACTCTTACACCTTATACTATCGCGCCAAGAGCTCGAGTCAGTGGATAGTCATCAAAGACATTCGTGGCCGAACATCTATGAGTTTGAAGGAACTCCAGCCTTATACTACTTATCAATTTCGCCTGTTTGCTCTGAACGACCTGGGGACCAGCAAACCTAGTCCTCTGGCTGAATTCAAAACATCCCCAAAAGGTTTGTATTTCAGGAGGTCCCGTCTCACAACTCATCATAATTAATTCCGTGGGACGTAAAGGAACCCACAGACTGATCGAAAAGAGTAGGGGACGTAGTTCCCGGTGTGGTGGTCTATCTCTCATCTGATGGTTAAATACTCGGAGGTATTAGCTGCATAAGCTACTCTGAAATCCGAGGGTAAATAAAGTAATGTATGTATGTAGCAGTATTTTACACGCGCTTGAGCAGATACGGAGAGGGAGCCGAGAGTTAATGGCGCTGATCGCTGGTTCATGTTCTTCACTTCGATGCTACAGAGTAATATATCAAAAAACAAAAGACCGTCTTTGACCACATTTCCAAACACCGAGAACAGAGTTAAAAATACAACGCGTAGCGGTGTATTTTTGATTAGCGTCGAGTAGTTTACAAACGTGGTCTTACATGTTTTGATATATCTTCTCAATCGAAACTGAAACTAAGGAGAAAACAGTTAAATACAATCGTAAATCTGATAATCTGTGATAGATCAGGTATCCAAACACCGTCCCCCAACGGGATGAATGCTTTATGAGTTTGAGAAGTGGAGTTTAAAACACGACCATCCGGAGCCGCTCCAAATCCTCCATTTGGTCAGTATCTCAACAATTGAATTCTCATCTAAGCGGTGCAGTGGCCCCAGTTAGAGCAGTAATGGGAATTTCCAGCTTCATGTTCCTTTCACGTGTAAACCAAAACTTCCTACTTGTACATGGTAGTTTCCATCACCTTTACAGCTCTGCGGTAAACCGTTGGTACCGGCATGGCAAAGGTCTTTGATTCGAAACCCGAGAATGACCATGATTTTTGGTAGTGAGGGTATAGGGGTGTCTGTAATCTGGATTGTATTTCACTGTGTACTTCATAAAGTGAAGCCTTGGAGCCGACTGGCTGCCGGAGCTTATTCCGGT